GGATCTCCAGTGGACAGCCATCACATCCCCAACATACGTAAAACCAAGAACTTTGTAGGAAATAGGATTTTGAAGAGCGAGTCATCTAAATTATATAATATAGACGTGTTTTATATGCCCTCTTTTATTCTTTTTTCTTTTTCTCCTTTCATTTTTCTTTCTCTCTCCAAATTTTACTATTTTAACATCTATATTTTTCTAAATACAATTGTGTGTTTGTTTTATGTACTCTACTGTTTTCCCATGTACTTCACTACTCTAAATTATCCCTGTCTATTCTCTTGCTACAATCCTCTTCTTTACAGTTTGTATCTCTTGATAAATCTTTTTTGTTTACATCTCTTTCCACTTTTTCTTAGTTCTGTATGTATATTGTCCATTAGCCTTTCAGCATATTTAATTCTGGCATGTGTCCTTGTGTAAAATGTCTTCAGACTTATTTTTCTGGGTTGGCTTTGGTAATTAATTCTGGTCTTTTGAGTAGGTCAGGTTTTTTTTTTTTATTATTCATTGTATTTTTTTTTTAAATGGATCATTTGAAGAACCACTAGTAGGCCTAGCATTTGCAGACTAGATCCACACACGGGAAGATGTTCAGTTATCAGCCAAGTACATTTTTGCTTGGTTCAGTATTCTCTGGGCCTTTGTATATGTTTCTCGACCAATTTTCCAGCATACTTTTATTGATTTCCTTTTAAGTGTCTTTATTTCCATGAAAGTCTCACCCATAATCTGGGATCTTTGGTGTTCTATTATATTTACTCCCCACGTTCCTTGTTTCCTAGTTTCCCTTCATTGTGCTCATGTAGATCAGAACATTGTATCAAACAGGGCTTTAAACTTTCATATGCCTGAGGTCTAAAATATGCTACACTTCCTTTCTTAACTGAGTGCTGAGAACAGTGAGAGAAAGCTACCTCCTAGGTGTCCCTTCTTACATATCAGAATGTTGAAAATTGTTTTTTATTTGTTGAGTAATGAGGTAGTAAATGGCAGTGGGTGGCTTTCAGAGAGTGGGCAGAAATTCTCTGCAGTCTCAGTGGGTTACATGCATCTCCATACACCTATGGGTGTCCACTGTGCAAGTGAGCTCATCACTGCTCTTGCACTGTTCCATGCTACAAGCAAGTGGGGCAGGGTGAGCAAGCTTGTAATGAAATTTCCTGTTTGGATTTTTTTTCCTAATGATGGGCAAAGAAAGAAGGCCAGGGGTACAGGGTGTGGTATTTATGAGGTAGGGGGTGAGAATATAGAGACATTAGATCTTAGGAAAAGTGAAAGAGGAATCCAAACATGTGGACTGTTAGCATGAGAAAAGAGAAAAAGCGGCAACCCCATGCAAGGCTCTCTCCTGCTTCTTCAAGAAGATGGTGGGTAATAGCACACCTAGCAGGGATACCTCTGGTGTAACCAATCCTGTAGTTGGGTTTCCTGGCCCCATCCAGTGTCCCGAGATGGAAGCTGATTCAATGAAAGATGGTGGTGGTGGCAGCAGAGGTAACCCAAGATGGTGGCAAAGAGGTCCCAAGATAGAGGTGATGGCTTTCAGAGATGGAGTTGAAAGGGTGGGCCTTGTGTTGGCATGGGTGACCTGTTGCTGCTGTAGCATTGTCGTATGCAGTGCTGTGGTGGACAGCTGCCTCTAGGCCTTGTCCGTCCATTGTCTCAAGTTGGAGGCTACTACATGGGGAGGGTTATGGTGATGTCTGCTGTGTCCTAAGAGGGGGCGGGATGAGGGAGCCCTATGTTGTTATATGGGGGGCAGGAGTGCAGTCATTCCTCTGGCTCTGTGTGACTGCAGGCAGGAAGGTCCTGATCAAAGTGAAAAATGGGCGTGATGTTCATGAATGGGCTGAGAGACAGCATGGTAATATTTCCTGTGATCTCCTGGGCTTGCACAATAACAGGCTGTGGTTTAGCCTATTTGGAGGGGATCAACTCAGGTCTTTTGCTTGCAGGTCAAGTAACACAGAGTTCTTTTCAAACACCAGGTTACCATACAACCAAGTTTAGACTGCTTTTCTGTTCTCCAGGTTTTTCTATGTCATCTTTGTCCTTTGTGTTTTTCTGTTTGTGTTATTCTCTCCCCTTTGTGGTGAACCTCTGCCCCAGATACCACTGGATTGGCTCAAAAATCCTCTTTTCCTTTGTTCTGTAGGTTTGAATTTCTGGGTCTCTAAGAGTCTCTGCCTATCTTATAATGAATTTCAGTGAATTTCTTCATTAACCTACATTTCTGAGAAGCGGTACCCCCAAGCACTGGAATCCAAAGAAATGGAGCAATTGCAAAAGCAAACTTCCTTTTAATCCACCACTTTCAATCTTCTCAGATCCTGTTTTTAAACCAATTTTACCAACATGTGGCTTTTTATTTGGGAGTTTAACCCATTTACACTTAAAGTGACTCCTGATCGTTAAAAGAGCACCAAATTCCTTTAGATGCCAAGGGAATTACAAGTAACATTCTAAAGTTATCACAATGCATTTTAAGCCAATATCTTTAATCACATCCAAGACTCCTTTGCAGCTTTTTCTCCTCCCTTTTGTCTTATTGTCACAAAAAATTCATCTGTTGGCTACTCATTATTATTGATGTACAATTTGCATGTTTTTTTTCATTTGATTGCTTCAGGAAAATAAAAAGTTAAAAGTCCCAATTTCAAAAATAATCTTTTATATTTTTCCATCCATGCACATACATTTACATACATCAGAGAACTTTATATTAAGATGTTGTGTTCCTTTTGAAGATTTGTTAATTTCAATTGGAAGGACTCCCTTTAAAATTTCTTAAACAGCATCTCTACTGGCAATGTAGTTGATCACCCATTTTCTTTTTTTTTGCAGGGGGAGGGTCAAGAAATGTCTTAATTCCTTTCTCAATGTGAAGGACAGTTTGCTGGCCCTGGTATTCTTGTTTGTCAGTTTATTTTCTTTAAGCATTTTAAATGTATCATCCCAGATGCTATTGATGTTCTAGGTTTCTGCTGAGAAATCTGATATTCTTGAGTAGAATCCCTAGTGTATTAGTGTTTTTTGTTTTTATAAATCTGCTTTCATATTCTTTTTTTCTTCTTTTATCACCAAGATTCTTTCTTTCTTTCTTTCTTTCTTTCTTTCTTTCTTTCTTTCTTTCTTTCTTTCTTTCTTTCTTTCTTTCTTTCTTTCTTTCTTTCTTTCTTTCTTTCTTTCTTTCTTCTTTTTTGTACCAGGAATTAAATTCTGGGGCACATAAGCAGTGAGGGTTTCCTAGGAGGGAGGAGGCATACCAAGAATTGAACTCAGGGGCACTTGACCACTGAGCCACATCCCCAGCCCTGTTCTGTATTTTTTTAGAGATAGGGTCTCTCTGAGTTGTGTTGTGCCTCACTTTTGTTAAGGCTGGCTTTGAACTCATGATCCTCCTTCTCAAGCTCCTTAACCACTAGAATTACCCATGTGCCCGGGTGCCCAGGTGAGACAGATTTTGGATAAGTATCTTAGGACCTGGCTAAGTTGCTGGGGCCAGCTCTTAACTTGTGATCCTCCTAACTCAGGCTCCCAATTTGCTGGGTATAGTGGTGTGAACCACCATGCCCAGCTATCAGTTGAGAAGTTTTCAGCCATTATTATTTCCAATATGTCTTTCTCTCTGACTTTTCATTTGAATATTGCCATAATTCACTTTTAAGTCTGCTTTGTGGCTGTGTGCTTTAGTAGTTGTTTTTGTTTCTTCATTAATTTTATTGTCTTAAGAGTGGATAATTTCAAATGATCTCTCTTGGAACTTAGTCTTCTTCGTATTTGGGTTGCAGTTTAATATTCCTATTTTATTTTATACTCAAGTTTTACTATTATTGCAAAATTTGGTTCTTCTTTACAGTTTGTACTTTTATTTATAATCTTTTTGTTGACACCTCTTTCCTGTTTTCCTTAGTTCTCTATCCATGTTGTCCCTTAGCCCTTGAGGATATTTAAGTCTGACAGATGTCTTTTTGTAATATGTCTTAAGCCTTTTTCTAGTTCCCACTGTTGCTTTAGGCAGATTTATTTTGGTCTTTTGGGTAGGTCAAGTTTCCCTTTCTTTCTTTCTTTCTTTCTATCTTGTTTCTTTTTTAAACTGGTCATTTGAAGGACAGTCACTATGCCTATAGAATTTATAGACTAGATCCATACAAGGCAAACTGTTCAGTTATCATCCAGGAAGTACAATGTCTTCTCAGTTCCATTGGTGGCTCAATCTTTCCTGGAATTTCCTAATATGCTTATATTCATTCCTTTTAAGTGTCTGTTTCTGACAGTCCTCATACACATTCTCTGGGACTTCTGATGTTCTATTATATTTACTGCTCTTGTTCCTTGACCCCAGTTGCTATTAGTTGTGCAGGCCTCATGAAGATCAACACCTCATATTCAATAGAGCTTTAAACTTCCTTATACCCAAGATCTAAAATATGCTACCCTTCTTTTCTGAAGTGAATACTGAGTCAAGTGAGACAGAACACAATCTCCCAGACATCCCTTCTGAGATGCCAGAATGTTGAAAATTACTTGTGTTTGTTTCTTTGGTCAGAGCAAGTTAGCAGCACTGTGTATGTTGCTTCCAGTTTTGCTGTTCCATGTCACAAGAAAGTGGGGCAAGTTGAACCAATATGTCATGAAATTTCCTATTTGGATTTTTTTTTCCTGAAGTGGGTAATCATTCATTTCATAGCTGCAGAATGTGGATTGATTTCTACACTTGCCAAAATTTTATTCCCTAGTATGTTGTTGTCATTTGGAGTTCTAATGGGAGAGCAAGGGCTGGGAGCATCCTAGTCTGCCATCACCATCCCTTTATTTTCTGGAGGCTCATTTTATGATATACAGTTTTTCTGTGTTTTCATTTGAATTTTTCCCCTCTTCTCAGAGTCACTTTTGTTTTTCAGTTTTGGACAGTTGGACTACAGAGTCTTGATGAGGGTCTCACTGGGTGTGTTTTCTTGGAATTTATCACCTTGGTGTATGGGTTCATGTGTGTCATCATATTTGGTATGTTTTATGCACTATTGTTTCATGTATGTTTTGATTCTCTTTACGCTCTTTCTCCCTCCTCTGGTGTTTACAATTGAGTACTTGTTGGCAATGTTCATGGTTTCCTAGAAATTTCTTAGGTGGTTGTTCTAGTCATCTTTTCATCACTTTTTTCAGAAGACATGACAAGTACAGCTTTGAGGAGAAAAAGATTTTTTTTCTTGGTTTCAGGGTTTCAGTCCATGGTGAGTTGAGCACATTGTTGTCTGCCCATGGTGTGGCAGTAAGTACATGATGCCTGAAGGGTGTTGCATTGGAAAACAAGTCCAGATGTTGCCACCAAGAAGCAGAGAGAGCTTGAGTGCAAGTCATCAGGGATACTATAATCCCTAAGGTTGTGCCCCTGGTGACATACTTTCTCTAGCAATACCATACCTGCCTCAAGTTACCACTCATGAATGTATCCAAATTATCAGTCTATCAAATGGTGTAATCCACGAATTGGTTTTCAGCTCTCATAAACTCATCATTTCAACTCTGAAATGTATAACACATGAGCATTTGGGGGACACCTCATATCAAAAATGTTACTCTGCTGTTCATTCTTTCCATGCTCTCTTTACCTGCATGTCATTCCAGATAATCTTCTTAAGTTTGCAAACTGTTTTGCATGTTCTGATCCACTGTTCATCATCTTAGGGTTCTATTCACTTCAGTACTGAGGTTTTGAGTGCCCAGACTCTCATTTGGTTTCTCTTGTAATTTCCATCTTTGTATTAATATTCTTCCTTTGGTGAGTAGCCATTCTCTGGGTTTCCTCTTATATTGTGTTCAAAGTTTTCTTTAGTGGGGCTGGGGCTCAGTGGCAGAGCGCTTGCCTAGCATGTGTGAGGCACTAAATTCAATTCTGACTACCACATATCAATAAATAAAATAAAGGTCCATTGACATCTTAAAAAAACTTCTAAAAGATTTCATTAGCTCTTTAAGCATGATTTATATAGTTAACTTAAATTCTTTGTGTAGCCAGTCTTATGACATTTACACAATATCCTTGAAATAGGGCAGAGTGTCAGAAATACTGAAGGTATGAGTAATGTAAGAAATAAGGACAAGACACAGGAATAAGTGAAAAGTGGGGGCACAGTGGGATGATTCAGTTCTGATGGAGTCCATGCACTTTATTCAAGTGAGTCAGAATGCCAGTGGTATTCAGAGTGAAAGACTTCCAGAGGAAAACAGGAAGAAGATGGTAAAGACAACTTGGTTGGGGCTTAGCAGGTTATGACCATCTCCTGTGTTTGAAACTAGGACTACCTGACCCAATGGACAGGGTGTCAGCATAATCTGAGCAGTCTTGAATTGGTGGAATTTCATTGAGTGTTCCCAGAAAAGCAACCCCCTTGATATGGCTCAAATAACCCATATTTCATTCACAGCCTCCAGCATCTCCTCCTACTTAATTTTTTAAATGTAAGTGTTGTGTGGTTCCATGAGGTTCTTGGATCTTTTTTCTGAGGGTGTAGCAATCTATTGTAATAACACAGAAGAAAATTAGTAGCAAACACATCATTCCAAAAATAAAGCATGCAGAATGTTTCAACATATTCCCAGGATTAAAGCCATTTAAGTCATGAAGTATTTCTTAAGCTACAGATGCAGGATCCATGAGATTGATCCTGCTTTTCTGAATATCCTAGATGTGATGATATCACCCCATGAGGTCCACACTGTTGTTATTGCTATGCAAAATGCCCACCAGATGATTTTTTGCCTTTATCCAATCCCATTGGGAAGAATTATATTTGGCTGCAGTAACACAGACATAGCCAGCATGGCATCTAAGCCTTTGCTTAAATTTGAGAGTGGAAAGTTAATTACAACAGTAGCTTTCAAAGAATTTAATTTAGTCTCAATCTTTTCATCAATATTTACCTGATTCACAAGGAATTGGAAGTATTTTGAGCCACATTATAAAGAAAATGAGCATTTTGAATGTTTTGAGATAAGGATAAAGAAGGTGTCACAGTTGAAACTATACAGGATGTTATATAATATTTTTCTGTTTTTCTTCTTGCTCTTATATTTCCAGAAGTTAAACCATAAGGAGATTGAGCACTGGCCCACAGGCCACAGTTGGAGCCCTCTTCACATTTCCTGTCTATAAAGTCAGGCATAGGGCTGTTTATATAATGGAGAAAATCCAAGTCAACCATTAAATGCCACAGATCTTTTTGGATGCCATCATCACTTGAAGTCAGAATATTACCACCAAATCCTCCAGGAATCATGGAATCCTGACATTGCTGTCCCTTACCAGTTCTTTGAGAACAATAAAAAGTATATCTACCATTTCTAGAGATTTTATGTTGCACTGGGAAGACATTTGCACATTCCATCCATTTAGGAAAGCTGCTAAGTTCCATTGCAGAATGATTATTGCTGTAAGTGCGATAATGATTAGCCAGTCTAGGCCCCCTCATATGCTACCTTTTCCTCAAAGGTTACTTTTCAACAGCCAACATGTTTATCATGGGACCAACATATAGGTAAATTTCCACTATAGCCAGTATCACTAAACCCAGTTACATGAATAGGTGTATCTTGTTTATATGTAAAACCTCCTATCATATGAGTGTCATTAGTAAATACTGGGATGGACTCTCCAGTCCACCTTGCTGGGTGTACTGAAGGTGGGTCTGAGAAATAGGTCCAAAAAGTTTCCCCATGAACTCCACTTACTTGGCAGCTCAATGGAGCCAACATAGCCACAAACATTGTGGTTGGAGACTTAGTACGTCCCTGTTATTCAATCATCTGGTTGGCCTGATAACATCAGCATTTTTAGTTGTCTCTATAATGGCATGTTGAGCTTTCTGGAAAAAAGGCTGTATCCTGTATCATTACGGAATCTGGTCTCATCCATTGTCCTCTTTGTAAGTGTTTCCACAAAACTAAGCCTGACAAGTATTGTAGGAGCCCTGTGTTGCTCAGCAGCGGTGAGACTTTTTTTGGTGGGGTAGGGGATACCAGGGATTGAATTAAGGGACACTCAATTACTGAGGAGCATCTCCAGCTGTGTTTTGTACTTTATTTAGAGACAGGGTCTTAAAGAGTTGCTGAGGCTGGTATGAACTTCCTTAGCCGCCTGAGCCAGTGAGATTGCAGGTGTGCACAACCAAACTGGCTGGCAGCAGGAAGACTTTTAAAAATTTAAAAATTGTAATGTTAAAACAAGAAGAGCATGACAAACAAATGTGTGGGGTACTATCACCCCCTTTTGTCTTTTGTAAAATAGTTGAATAGTTGGTATATGCTGGAACATCATTAGCCTTAAATTGTAAAATATAAATTAGTACTGTCAAAGAAGCTAAGTAATGAGAAACAACATGAGTGTTTTCTTTATATGAGCAGTGGCAAAAATGAAACAAGAACAAGTATCAATAATAACATGAACATAACATGGTTTGCCAAAGTTGAGGGGTATGAGTTACATCCATTTGCCACAGTTGATGTGGCTATAAACCAAGGGGATTTACCCAAGTGGATGAAGCTGGAATGTGAATCACACACTGTGGGCAAGAGTGAACAATTTGCTGAGCTTCCTGTCATATAATATGATTTTTGTGTGTGGATTGGAAGCATTCTGATGATGTGAGGAATGAGAAGCTTGAGCACAGTCATATGGAGACATTTGTACATGAGCCACTATAAGTTTATCAGCCTTAGCATTATCTGATGTTAAAGACCTGGAAGTTTAGAATGAGCTCTAGTATGACCAATAAAACAAAGATATTCATGCACTTGAACTGTTTATTGTAAAGTATGGAATAAATGGAAACAGAAGACACAGGGAAGAATTGATGTTGCAGATCAAATTTGAAGGTCGTCCTTCTGGCAGAATTCTTTTCTGTGAGATGTCAGTCTATTCTCTTAAGTTTTCGAACTGCTTGGATGAGACCCTCCCACAGTGGAAGGTAATCTGTTTTAATCAAAGTCCACTGACTGGATATACGAATTCCCACCCCACGCCCAAAACAAAAACTTTCACAGTAACATTTAACTGGTGTTTGGCCCAAACTGCTGGGTATTTGTGCCTAGCCAAATCAGTACATGGAATTAACTATTACAGTAACATTGAATAATCTTCCTTATAGAATCCAGCATTTCCCAGGGTGGACAAGCAGAAAATTAAGTATGGCTGAAACAATTTTCAGAGAAGTTCAGGAAAGACAGTTATGATATGTGCCTGAGAAGCAGAGAACCCACTGATAAACTGAATTACTACCACTTGTAGTTGGCTCTCTCTTCCACCCTCTCATGAAATGTGCTTACCCATCCCAAAGAGATAACAACCCAAGTGTTCATTCACTGCCAGAATGTAGTCAGAATCCCATATCTCTGTATGATTCACACCAGTCCACATGTGAGACCCAGTTTGACCTTGCTTAAGTCACAGCTGTGAATTCCAAATACCAGCATACAGTGTTAGGCATATGCAGCCTGATGTAGGAAGTATAGAATGAGCTATGTGTTGTGATTTGGATCTTAAATATCCACGAAAGGTCTATAAATATTTCCTCATCAGCCTCTGGCAATATTGAGAGGTGATGAAACAGTAGGCGGTGGGTCCTACTGGAAGGAGGTTGCATGGTTGTGGACCTGCCCTTGAGGGGGATATTGGGACCCTGGCCTCATGCTCTCTACTCCCCAGCTGCCATGAGGTGAGCAGCATTACTCCAATATGTGATCTCTGCCATGATGTTCTGCCTCCATGGAGTCTCCAGAACCATGAAGCTGACCAAGTATACATAGAAAGAAATCTCTGAAATGTTCAGTCAAAATAAAGTTTACTTCCTTGTAATTGGTTTACCTTACATATGCTTTCAAAGCCACAGAAAGATGACTAATGTAATGAGGTAGATAAAAGATCAAAATGCCTGCTGTACAACACTCCTTAGATATTGCAGGGCAGATAATTTAATGCTATCTTTTATGGAGTGGAGTTTATTACTCAATTTGACAAGAGTTCTTTCACATTATTGTTTATCTCAATTTTTTGTAGGGCTCTTGGGTCTTTTCTCTGAGAAAACTTTCTGTTTTCATCTTGGATTTTTCTTTTTTTAAGTTTTTTTTTTTTTCCGTAGATGCCGATGGACATGATTTATTTGTTTGTTTGTTTGATTTACTCTTAAGGCTCAAACCCAAGGCCTCACACATCCTAGACAAGCACCCTGGCACTGAGCTACAACCCCAACCCCTTGGCCTTTTCTTAAGTAGACATTGAACAATATGCCCTTATCTTTCTTAGAGTAATTAGGTTTCTCATCCAGAGTCTTGCATCTAGATAATTGGGAATACAAGGGTTGTTTTAAGTCTCAAAGATATTTTTACCCAGACTGGGCACTATTTTGATAAATATTTTCTCACAAACAATTTTCTTAATTCCTACAGTTATTCCTTAATCACTCTCCCTGATTCCATGGCAGGCCCATGGTAACCAGAAATAAATTCCACCCCAGAAAGCCACTATTCTATTGAGCATATCATTCACGATATAGCCAGTAAACAATATTCACCCTTGTAATTTGAATTAAAACACATATATGTGTATAAGTAGACATATGAATCTATATATACATATGTATATATGTATGTGTGGTCTCATATGTGAAGTACAGATAACACTGAAAATGTAAATGGGAACCACAAGATGTAATAGAGCTTTTTTTTCAAGGAACAAGGGAAAGTAAATAAGGAAGAATTGTCAATATACAGAAGAGGGCCCTGAGGCCTAGATTCAGAAGTAAGCACAAAGTGCAGTGCTGCAAGAAAATGTGGCCTTCTCCAGGTAGATGTAGGCTCATGTGGTGATGTGCAGAGGGGACATTATTTGGAAGAACTGAAGAACTCTCAGATGAGTAAACCTGCATGAACACTTGTTTGGGCTGCTTACAGAGGAAGTTGTTCTCTTAGTGCCCTTTCTGCATGTTGCTCTCCCACTAAGCATTAAAACCTACATATCCTGGTATATATGGGGCAGGAAGGAAATTCAGAATTAGCATCAGGAGAGAAGAGGTTCTCAAACATCTTAGGCTTCTTTGGATTAATTTAGATGCAATCACAAATAGGCAGAGTACAACTAGCTCCCTTAGTATTAGCAGTTCTGAGGTTGGAGTGCCAGTGGCTCTCAGATTGTAGCATTAGCAGCACTCCCCATATGTTCCTGGCACCCTGAGCCAGCAACTCTCTATCATGGAAAGCCATCACCAAAATGCTTCAAAACTTCATACATCTTTAAACCTCTTGAATTCAGTAAAGAGAGAAAAGTATTTATGCACTGTTTTATGATATCTTAATGTGTCATTTCTGTATTACACCATGTGAAATGCAACACTAGACAACATTTCTCACACTGCACGTTTTCTTTAGAATTCATGGAAATGCAGGGTTGTGGGTTGAAGTTTCAGCTCAGAGGTGTGTATAGCACTCACCTAGCATGCATGAGGCACTGGGTTTGATCCTCAGTACCACATGAAAATAAAATGAAGATATTGTGTCCATCTGTAACTAAAAAATAAATATTCTAAAAAATGCATGTAGCTAGTCAGAAATTGTTTTGCACTTGGGAATTCCATTGGTTCAACTTCACTTTTTTCCTGAGTAAAAATTATTTATTGTCTTTATTAATTGGAAGGAGAACCAATACTATTGGTCTAAGTTTATGCTAATTGGGGTTTGGAAAAGTTGTGCAGTGGGCATCCCCACTGTGGGCAGGATTTGTTGCGGCAGGATAGCAGATCGGCTTGCCTCAGCTCACTTTGGTTTTGGCCTGCCAGACTCAGGTCTTCCTGAGGCAGGGGTAGAAGAGTCAAGGTCAATTAGATGGACTTATCAGAGGGACCCTCAAAACAACCAGGTTTTAAGGATATGCATGTAGAGGTATACAGGAAAATGCATCTTTTAAGTCTAAAATTGAACCATTTGGAATGTTTAAGAATCTGGGATAACAAGGTGTAAGGATCGAAGACCAAGGATGTATGGGAACCACTACCTCATTTGTTGATCTGAGGTCCTGTACTGGTCTCCATTCCCCATTGGACTTCCGTGGGTGTATTACATGAACTTTAACAGCGTCTCAAGAGGCCCTGTCACTTGAAGTTACCTATTATAGCTTGCAACCATTGTTTAGTCTCTGGTTTCAGGGGATACTTGTTTTGGTGGGGAAAGGGTGTAGAATCTTTGAGATGAATGTGTACAGGAGCAGGTCCTATTGCTTCTCACCTTTTTCTCACTGTGTAGCTCAGACTTCTAGGTTAATCTCAGTTTCTACTAGGGGCAGACAAAGTACTAGTTCTGCTGTCATATGAGAAGTGTGATGCTTAGGTGGGTCAAAATATCTCTTTCCATAGGGCAGTGGGACTTTCAGGAATTATCAAAAGGA